TAATTGTCCTGGAAGGAAAGAGCTGGGAAGGGGGTGGGAGATGGGGCAGACATCAGGTTGGAGACCGGCACCACTTAAAGGGAACGAAGGGAAGAAGGGGAAAAAAAAAGTCTTGTCTGGTGTGATCAAAGCATTGCTCCACTTTTGGATCCAGGGTTGTCTCTCTGCTGGTTTATCCTATAGGACAAGACTCCTTGCAACGGTACAGGCTCCAGCAGAATAATCGTGTCGGGATGCTGCCCTTGTGCTCCGATTTAACGCTTGTTCTCCAAGCCTCATATCCACTCCCCCACGCTTCCTTGCTTGGAGGTGCGCTCCACTCCCTCAGTTAGGAAAACACAGGTGTCAGCGCCAGGGAAAGACCCTGTTCCTAGGCCGGGTGTACACATGTGTGCTCTCGCACATGCGTGGTGTGCCAGGCACGCTGCTGGGGGACAGCACCCCAAACTACAAGGGGCTGCAGCATATGAATATTCCCACACAGAGGTGCTGGCAGCACCTGTTCAAGGACCCCCCTCCTCTCCATCTCTGGACCTCCAAGATCAAAAAGACCACCTAAGACACCCAGAACTTGGGTTGCACAAAGTGCACTAAATACCAGGGGGCAAAGCATCCTCAACCTCTGCCATGGGGAAGCTCAGGGGAATTGCAAAAAGGGCACCGGGCACTTTCCAAGATGGTCATCCCAAAATCCAGGTAGCATCACAACAAACCACAAGCCAACCTGTCCTCCTCATCCCCATGCTCACGTTGCAACCCTGCAGCACGGAGGGACGCATCCTCCTGGGAACCATTCCCCCCAGCCACAGCAGAAAAATCAGGGCACTGGTGCACGCAGGATTTCACCGGTGGGTCCGAGGGAGAGGCCAGGCTCACGACAGCCACTTGCCTTTGCAGGGAGAGGACTTTGATTTTTGGGCTAGCCGTCAGGGCCTGGGGAGCTGGGCTTGTGCCCGTCCGGTGGGCTCTGGGTTTGCTAAGGGCACGACACGCACCGCCGGTGATCCCTCATTCCTGCCTGCCTCCGGCCACGCTCCACCCCACAAAATCCCTTAATGAAAGCCACAGCACCCAAGGGCTTCACAAAAGACATCCAGGTGTAGCGGTTGTTATTAAACCCTCCAAAAACCCCTGATGCCAACTCTTCCTTTTTGTGACCCCAATGTATTTATCCTGTTTTTACAGCGGTTCCCCAGCTCCTGAGCAGCACAACTTCACAAGGGTCTTTTGGTTTCCATTTTGATTTTTTTTTCCCCGTTGTTAGAATTGTTCCCCCACCCCATCACCTCTCACATAACGTGTTATTGTATTATCGCTGCAACTGCTATGAAAAAAAGCCAACGCGGTGCTATGATGCTCAGGCATTGGAGTGTGTGAAGCACACACCCACCTGGATATTTGCAGAGGGAGTTTAACCCTTCTTTTTCCATAAGCGCCTTCAAATATGGTGTAGGACAAGGCAGGTGGGTGTAGGGTCCCCGTTCTCTATTCGTTGCCCTAATGGCACCCGGGGAGCAGGGAGCTAATGCTGCAGTTGCTGATGGCTGAAGCTCCTTCAACCTCACCCTCTTAGGACCATCATTTAAGAGGTCACCAAGCTCCCACTGCCCTTTCTGATCATTTCTGAGTAGTTTTCCCCTTTTTTTGGTCCAGGACACACTGCATTGAGCAGGACATGAGTCCAGCATCAACACCCAGCCCGCTCTGATTGATGCATAGGCAAGGCGAGCATCCCCAAGCCCCAGGGAAAACACAGACGTTCCCCTCCCTGGCTCTGCCTCAGAACGAGTGAAGGTATTTTATGCACATTTTCAGATAAAACTATTTTTAGCTGGGGGAGAACAGGCTGGGGTTTTTTTTCAGGCAGCGATGATGATTTGGAAACCACAGGTTATAAACAGAGCGGGTTTACAAACGCGACTATTAGTTCCCCAGTGGAAGCTTTAGCATCAGGGAGTTTTAGGTGGGCGTCGATTCCCACTGAGATGAAAAAAAATTGGGATTTATTGATACAAGAAGCAAACACCAGTTGAACCCAAGTCAGTGCCATCCATTCCTGCACATGGTCCCAGGAGGCCGCTCATCACAGCAGTAGCCCTTCATTAGGCTAATTTACACCAGGGAGAGCGTGCCCAGGATATCCCACTGCTCATGGAAACCCCAACGCGGTGTCTGGGGTCACGATGCCACCTGCATTAAGCACCTTTCCCATCAGACATGTAGCAAAAAATAAGTCTAGAACGGAAGAGTAATACCCTGTGTCACCCTTGGAGGGACAAGGGCTAGTAAGTGTGATGCCGGGTCCCTCTGGGTCCATCGGGAATGAATCCTAGGGTGGGTCCTGCTCACGTGGATATCCTCTCTGATCCATCATCATGGGATGCATCAGCATCCCAAACCAGTCAGTACATCCCAAGGTGAGCGCTACCTTATACGTCTGATGCTCACAACATCCCCTCCCCCTTGCTAAGTCACAACACGATCCCAACAACCATTCATTTTCCCCAAACTCATAAGTCTCTCTGTCCAGACGCACTCACATATTAATCAAGCGTAAAGTTTTAGTCCGCAAAGATAATCCTGAACCCGCCAGTTGCCTGCACACGTCCCCCGTGCAGACTTCACCACCCGCCTTACACAACCGACACAGCGTGAACCGCCAAGTGCAAACCCTCTCCCACAAGCTGTTTGCAAGTCATTTGCCAGCCAAGGATTATTTGCTGAAGAAATTTGCCAATAATTCAGCAGATCAAACAGGCAAGAGTTTCTTGCAAGGGAGGTGCAACCACGGTGCCGAATAACAGCAGCTTTGCCAGCACCGCACGGCAAAAGCAAGAGCTGAACAGCATGAGGAGCCCATGATCTGGTCCAGCTGATCCCCCAGTGACCCAACCCTCCCCAAAACCAGTCCAGGATGAAAATCTGCAAGGTTGCCTCCTCCACCCCATCATACAACAGAATTCACCCCGCAAGCCCGGTGAGCCCATGCCAGCGGGCACTGGCACTGCTGGGGCAAAGCCAGCGGGTAACTGGGCGTTTCTTAGAGAGGGTTTCACCTTGCTGGAGCAAAGATCAAGACACAAGGGGGGTGACGGTGGTGAAGCAGACCCCGGAGGGCCGCAGCCCGTAACCGGCAGTGTCAGGGGGACCTGGGCACCTCCCGGCCGGGCGGCACGGCACTAACAGTCCTTCATGGACAATTGATTCCCTGGCACAGGGCCCGGCACGGCGCGGCACCGAAAGGAGCTGGCAAGGCTTTCGCGAGTGAGTAATTGCTGAGCGCTGACTCAGCACCGGCTGCGTTACAGTCAGCTCACCCAGAGCCACGGGGAGGGCAGGGAGAGGTCCATGGCGAACTCCTCCTCCCAGCCCAGTGCTTCCCCTTGGCCCAAGCCCCAAAGGATGCCCGGGCCAGGAGACGACCGATGGGCATTTCCCAACCACCCGGTTGCTTCCTGCACACTCAGCCCAGCACCGCAGCTGCACAGCCAGGCAGAGGCATCCCCTCTTGCTGCTACCAGGGGTGACACGTGTCCCACGCTGTCCCCAGAGATGTCACCATCTTTGCCCATCCCAGGACCTGTGCCCGGCCGCTCTCCCCGCAGCGGCAAGCCCGCCTGGCCACGGAGCCTTGCCCTGCGAGTCGCTTTGCAGATGCAGAAGAGCCAGCAGCATCCCATGCGATGGCTGCACCGCCGGCAGGCAGCTTCTTTGCCACTCACCAAGAAGCATTATCCCACCCACCAGCACACCAAGACACCCTGCCTTCACAGGCAGGCACGGTCCCACTCCCCAAGCGAGGCCATCCCAGTCTGCGTTGGACCAAGTGAGTCAAAACATTCCCAGTTCTGTTCTCCTCAAGCTTTCTCTCAAGCACGGTCCCAAACTGCACCTCTCCACTGTGGACAAGCAGCACCCATCGCCACATCCCTGGCAGCACCAGGCTCAGCATCCCCCTTCCTCCTCCCAGCACCCAAACGGGTGTCACGTCCCACCTGTTGCCACCACCCTGCAAGCCAAGAGACAGGACTGTGCAGCAAGCAACTCGGGAGAGACCCCAGGTATCTCACCTGGCTCCCGTGCCTCAGTTTCCCAGCCAGCCCTGCAGCTGCTCTGCACCCAGAAGAGCTCAGTGATCCACAGGCACCATCTGTTTGTACACATCAAACCAGCTCCTCTGAACGTGGCGTTTCCATCAGCACACAAAAGGAAACGGCCACGATCTGGGCAGCCCTTCCCTGGGGCCCCTTGGTGGCTGCAGGCACCCACCTGCCCTCCACACAGCGAGGGGCCAAGGGCGGGGTGGTCACCCTGGGGGGTTTCTGCTCAAGCCAACTGCCAGTGTTGGCTGACACAAGCCCAAATACTTTTGCTCATTTCTATGTCACCAGCACAGCCCATCACACTGCAAACAGGACTCAAATCTGGGCCACGTCCCTGGCAGGTGACACCACTAGCATCCGTGAAGCTCTGTGTGCTACCACCCCCAGCATCGCTACTGCACACTGCAATGCTGAGCGAGCATCACCTGGGAACACAGCCCCACCCAGACCTCATTCCCAAACCCCCAGCACCAGGCCAAGGCTGGAAAGTGCTTGGGAAGGCAAGAGGAGAAGAGATTTTCTCTCCCCCCATGAAGGGTTTGACCAAAACCTCTCCCAGACCACGTCCAGTTGCTTATCAGGCCATGCTCCTACCTCATCCTCGCCTTGCCCCATGCCCAGATGGGTGACAGGTGCCAGGCCACCAGGTGAGAAAAGCTAGACATGATGCTCTCAGAGCCAGCCCTCCTCGCCTGATGGGGAACCTCATCCCACCATCACTGGCCCACATCAAAGCCAACACAAGAGCCTCCAATGCGGGGAACCATCCTCTCTTCCCTCACTGGGATGAAGAAACACCACCAACAACAGCAGATCAGGGCCTCACCCCATGTCCTGGAGCTCGTGTCCCCACCAGGATGAGCACCTATGCCCGGCTGCCCGCATCGCCCAACTCACCCGCTGAGGACCACAATGAAGTCCATGACGTTCCAGCCGTTGCGCAGGTACGAGCCCTTGTGGAAAACGAACCCCAGGGCCACAATCTTAATCCCAGCCTCGAAGCAGAAAATCCCAATGAAGTAGGGTTCAGTCTTCTCCTGCCGAAGAGGAACCAGTGACAAGGTGAGAGGGGGAGACTGGGCAAACACAGCACCAGCCATTTCACATTGACCCAACTCACGTCCCACCCCACCCTTCCCCAGCACCATCCCCTCCTTTGGGAGCTTTCCCAGCCCTTCGTCAGCCAGCATCAACCTTGGAAATAAAAAGAGGGTGGCTACAGCCCACTTAAGTTGCCCAATTCCCTTTCCCTGCCCCATTTTTTAAGGGTTTTAAACTTTCCTGAACCTTTTCCATGGAGAAGTATGTGACAGCAGCCCCAGGAAGGCTGGAGGAGCTGGTCTCAAAGGAAACCTCCTGCCCTACCACCCTGAAACCAGAAGAAATTGGCTGGTCGGATGGGTTGTCTCCCCTTGGATGATGCCCCTGCTCACCCACCGGACTCCCCAACGCAGGGCAGAGAGGGACTGACACAAGGTACTTACTAATCTCCGTGACATGGGCGTCTTGTCATCCTCGGGGAGGTGCTGCTCGAGGGCCAGCACGATGCAGTTGGCAATGATGGTCGCCAGGATCATGTACTCGAAGGGAGTGGAGGGGAGTTAAGGAGCAGAGGTGGATGACATCCCTGACCCACCCTTTGTTTCACCTGCTCGTTAGCCACCACCACCACCACCACTTTCCCCGCAGGAACATGCACACACGCAGCCCAACTTCCACCTCCTGCTGCTCCTGGGCGGGAGGGTGAAGCCCACCTTGATGCTGTTTGGAAATCAGAGGGGTGATGAGAACCGAGAGTCCCCAAGACCTGACTTACTGGAGACCTGCTGAGCCTCATCACCTCCTTCCTGAGCTCATGGGACATGAACCAACGGCCCTTGCTGGGCCGTCAAGTCTCTTGGGAAGAGAGATTCTGCTTGTGGTAGAAGCCCAGAAGATGGACACAAGTATGAAGGTGGACAGCCAGGCTCTGGCCAGGCTGAGCTTCATCTGGAAAAGGGTTTGGCATGGTCCCTGGCAGCGTCAGGGAGGCCTTCCCTGGCATGGCATGCTGGTGGCCAGGGCTGGCACGTCCCCGCATGACATGGCCCTGCTGCTTGCCTTCTCTCTTCCATCACGAAGCAGCAGGAGATGGGGCTTGGAGGGAAGGGTGTCACGGGCTATCAGCAGCCCTGGTCCTAAAGCATCCCCATGGGAGGGACCACCTGCACGGCCCAAGGAAGACACGGCACCCCTAGTAGGTCCTGGGGATTCCACCTGGATCAGCCCACCCTGTGCCCCGCGTTGGCAAGGTGGACGTGCCCTGGGCAGCTCCGGTCCCTTGCCAAGCACCCTGCGGTTGGCAGAGTGAGCCCAGGCAGCGCTGACAGCTGCAGAACACCAGGGCTGAGGGTTTGCAACCCAAGACACTGACGGCACCTGGGTCTGAGCTTCAGCTCAGGCAGGATGAAAACTCCCTGCAGAGACATCCCAGCTCAGGAGACCCCAAGGAGTAGCAGCACCTTATCAACCAGATCCAGTTGCACCCTTATGAGCTTCCTAAATCCTACGGCCATGTCTAGGGTTTACACACCCTTCTCCGGGAGCAACCCCATACCAGGACAAGTGGCAGCAGATGCTGGCACCTGAGGACCTGAGTGAGTGGGAAGGGGAGGCAGAGGAAAGGGCAGGCTGATGCCCAGGAAAGCACCCCAAACTCAGCTCCCTCCTGCCTTTGGATTCACAGGGACTGCTGGGAACAAGGTAGAGGCGAGGAGCTCCCCCCTCCTGCCTGGCCCACCGCCAAGCCCCGAAAACAAAACACTTCCAAGCAACAGGACGGCCACATCTTTCTGACTTCCCATCCATCTTTACCACATCTTTGCAGTAAAAGCCCTGTTGTCCTAAAGAACAAAACGAGGGAGATTCATCAGCAGGCAGCACACCCCTTCTCCGCTCTCTCCATGCCAAAACTCCACAGCTCTATTACTGTCACCACTGGCATCAGCAGCCACCCTGGGAGGGGACTGCTACCTTCCCAAGGCTCATGTCTGTGGAAAGGGGATGTGATCCCACCTGAGATGGATTTGCCCATAAAGAAATCATCCACACTTCTGTCTCAAGCCGGCACAGGGAGAAGTGCCCTGGCTGAGCCCTTCCCCACAACGCCAGACTTCTCCAGACCCAGCATCTTCAGGTTCACACCGTTCAGGCCATGAGGTGCCAAACACCCGTGCCATCACCCCTCGGAAAAGGGATGATCTTCTCATTTGCAGCCTTGCCTTTTGGCTGCTGAAGCCGCTGGCTATGGCGAGATGCTTTAAACCAGTGGCCCTGAGCCCATGGGCAAGAGAAGACATCCTAGTGCTGGCCATGAGCATGGGAAACTGGAAACCATGAATTCTTCCCAGTGAGGGTGGTGGGACACCAGAACAGGTCACCCAGAGAAGCTGGGGATGCCCCATCCCTGGAAGTGTTCAAAACCAGGTTGGATGGGGCTTTGAGCAACCTGGTCTGGTGGAAGGTGTCCCTGCCCATGGCAGGGGGGTTGGATCTAGATGATCTTTAAGGTCCCTTCCAACCAAACCATTCTGTGATTCTAAGCGACATCGGTGGCAGGAACCCTGGCAGCAGCAACTCTGTGCACGTTGTGGCATGTGGGCAAGGTGGGAGCAGGGCCGGGCATCAGAGCAGGTCCCCAGAGAGCTGGCCAGGTGCAACAGCCAAAGAGAGCCTGCAGGAGCTGGGATGTATTTAGCCTGGTAGGGAGAAGAGCCAGGAAAGATTCAACCAAGACATTTAAAAGGCCACTCAGTGAAATTAATGGTTGCTAAGTTAAAGGCAAACCAAAAGAGAGACCGCTACAGAGCTCACTGCTGCCGGCTCAGACCTTGGTGCCAGCCAGGTACGCATCGTGAGCAGTTCCCTCTGCCTGGGGGGAGGCCAGACCCCAATTTTTCCTCCGAGGCTTAATACAAGCGAGGATTTCATTGCACGGCTCCTGCAAAAGCCACGTACTTTCCCTGCTTCCCACCTCTGGCCGCACACTTCAGCTGATACGCCGACCGCGACGCTTGGCCCTGAGCCACTGGCCTATTTGGGGTCGTTTTGTTTCATTTTCCTGAAAGTCTGCGAGCAATTAGCACAGGCTTAAAAGAAAACAGCGTGTTAGTGGGGCGGCGCAGCCAGCTCCCCAGGCGCTAGGCACATTTGCCTAGATGAGAAATGTGGGAACGGCACAGCGAGTCCGTCTGTCTGCCCCAGCGCTGCTAAACCCCGCCGAGCATCCTGCACTCCTCCCCACCCCATCGACCCCATCAGGCATCTACTATCGCCTCCTCCCTCCTGCAGCCCCCAGTCCCACTGGGAAAACACCCAGGTGGGAAAAACCCAACTTCTCCAAAGCCAGCAGTGTGGGAGAGCCCAGCCCTGGGGGGCTCAGCTCAACCCTATATTCCCTTACAGGCTCCAACATCTGGCTCGACAGCACAAGGACAGTGCACATCTGTCACATCCCCAGCACAGTGCCGTGTCCCTGCTCCACCTTCAGCAAGCCTGCGGTACGTGGGTCAGCAGGTATCAAGTCTAAGGGAAACAGGGCAATCTCTGCCGTAAGCAGTGATCTAAGCACCAGGTCGCTGCCAAAAGTGACTCTCCAAACACCGCTGGCCCAGTTTTCCAAGGACCCGAGCCCAGGTTATCGCATCTGGAGCTAGGTGAGAGCTGCAAGGCATCAACCCTATGGAAACAAGCCCCTGTAGCTCCAGCTGTGCCAGGTTTTGAGAGGCCAAGGGTAAGAAAACCCTCCCCAAGGCAGAGCAGGAACATCTGGCTGAACTGGGGGAACTTTTATCCGCACACTTTGCTTCTGCCAAGTAAGCATCTTCCCAGTTCAGGGCTGGCGCCCACCGGACAACGCTCTATCACTCCTTGGTTTCCTCTCTCGTTAGATGTCTAATTACACAACCTTCCAGCCATGCAAAACACAGAGTAGCACTCGTCTCCCTCCAAGCCTGGTAATGAAGAAGGCTCCAGCCTTCTCCTCCTTCATCTGGCTTCTCCTGAAGGATCATTAGGGAGCCGATAAAAATAGGTTTTCTTATTGATTTATCTCCTTTACCCAACGCTCTCTCCCCTGCACCATTGACTTGTTTCCTTAGCAACTCAGCCGATCCCAGTGCACGCCACACCTGCAGCTCCACGCTTCCCTCCCAGTGCGTTTGAGGTGGGGAAGGTGCCCCCAGGCCACATAGACACACCCCCCCCTGCCCCAGACCCATGCCCCAGCCCACCTGGAGCAGGCACTGCAGGCTAACCCCATGCCTGGAGTTGGAGCTCCTTGGTGGGTCTGGTAGGGAGCACCAAGGAGATGTCCAACCACCGATGGATCCTTGCTTCCAGCTGTGACCCTCATCTTCACCTCCCTCCCCAACCGGGAGCCAAACTCAGCCCACCCAGAACATCTATATTGCTAACACAGGGAGTGTGCCCAGCTCCAAGCCCTGAAGATGGATTTATGGGGCTGATGGTGCATCGATGCAACCTCCCCAAGAGAGGTTGAGTGCGAGAGAAATCCCTCGCCGGACGCAGGCAAGGGCTGGGAGCTGCGGAGAGCCCCTCTCCATCTCTCCGCTTCGGTGACTGTGTCTTCTCCCCGCTCCTGGGCAGGCAGATGGGGAAGGAGCAGAAGAGGCAGATGAACGAGGCCATCTCCAAAAGGGCTCTTGGGGAAGCCTACCTCAGAGGGCCAGCAAGAAGGGTAAGAACGATTTAACCCCTTGCTCTGCCTGCATCACCCAGCCCAGCTCCAACACCTAGAAACTTAAGTCTCCATTTCCCATTGCTCCCCAGGCTTCCCCCAGGACCTGCTGCACTGATGGGGACTTTCCCTGCTCCCCAGGCATCAGTGAGAAGGAGCTTCAGTTCCTACATCTGTGGACTTCATCTTGCTGGTCCCAACCCCACCACTTGCTGCCTGCCCCACACAAAGATGGCGTGACAGGAAGACAGACCCATCTCTTCAACATCTCCATCCCTAGGACATCCCGACCCCCCTCCTCTCAGCTCCATACCCCAGCAGGAAAGCGAGCATCCCCTCTCCAAGGCTGTTGACCCAAAGAAACCCAAAATGCCAAATGGAGCAGAGACCATGAGTGGTCCTAATTCAACTCAGGGGTTCCCCAGCCCTACAGCACCTCCCCGGCTCATCCCTGAGGACATGGGGGAATCTTCCCTCAGCAGATAAGGTGATCCAGTGCCCTCAAACAGCCATAGAGCCATGGTCATCCCCCTCCCTGCACCCTGCCACCCAGCACTCCCGACCCATCCGTGCTTTGCTGAGGCTAACCCAAAGTGATGTCCAGAGGGACACGGTGCTGACAGACCCCAACTCCTCCAGCAATGCTCTGGATGCAAGCCAGCTCCTGCATGCCCATTGTGTACAGCAAAATGGGTTCAGGAGAGCGAGCGTGGGCTCGGGGCTGTGCTCATGTCTCCGCATGGCTCACGAGGAGCACCCAGGCAAGGTGCTCAGCCTGCCTAACTCTCACTGCACGGACCGGCCTCAACTGGGAAGACTCCGCTCGCTATCTGCGGCCACCGATCTTG